CCGGAACGCCGACCGAAGCGCGAGCGGCGGCCGGCACCGTTTCCTGCGTTCGAACGGCTGCCGGGACCCGGCAGCACGTTGACTTTCACGCAAAGAACGTTTGTAGGTACAGCTGCTCCCGGCAGTCGCTCTTCCCGCCACTCGGTCCCCCCCCCCCCCTCCCATGGCGCTGGGTGGCTGCCCTCCCCCCGCCTGTGCCCGCCGCGCGCCACCCCTCGCACCCCGGGCGCACACACACGTGCGGCGCGCCCCCATGCTGCTCCCCCCCCCCCCCCCCCCCCCGCAAGGACCTCTCCTGTCCGGCTGGGCCCCCGCCCCGATATGCGCCGGAGGGGGGCGGGGCGAGGGAGGACAACGCTCCGGACCCCCCCCCACCCCACCCCCCGCTGGCGCCCGGGCATCCCTCTCCAGCGCGTGCGTACATGCATGCGTGCGCGCGCGCGCGCGCGCGCGCAAGCCGGCGCGTTGGCAGCTTTAATCGGGCGCCGGTGGGCGAGTATAGTTTCACAGCCCTGCCCGCGGGCTCTTTTTCGCACGGATCCACCTTCCAACGGGAGCCGCACAGAGGAGGACGAGCTTGGCGGGCGCCAGGACCTTTTTGATGATCTCCGTCTCCCGGCCAGAGGGGCGGGAAGCGCGCCAGGGACAGGCGGGGGCGGGGGGACAGAGGAACGGTCAGTCCCCGGGGACCGTTGGCAATGCGGCTGGCGTCCGGCCTCCGCCCGGGGATGTCCCCCGCCCCCTCCCTCGCCGGAGGGAACACGCCTCGGACGGGTCGGCAGGGAAGGAGAGGTGCCGTTCCGCGGGGCACCGGAGGCAGTGGGGACGCGCATCGAGGGGTTTTTTGGCGCGCGAGGATGGCGGCACAACAGATACCAACGAACAGACACGCCGATTATCCAGCCTCTTTCCGGGCCCCGAGTGAGGACGAGAGGCAGCTCGGTCCATGCCCGCTCGGGCCCTGTCTTCCTGGGCACCGGAGCCAGTGCCAGCGGGGAAAGCCCTGTATGTGTTGGTCCCTGCTGCAAGGAAGCAACATGGCTCAACAAGGGGAGGCGGGAGGCGGGGGGGGGGGGGGAAAATGCCTGACCAAGCCAATCATCGAGCGGGACCTGGGATCAGCAGCCGAGTGGGAGATCACGCGACCGGGGGATCTCTGTAGTGGAATCCCCATGTAAACGATAGATGAAGCAACACGTGAGTGAATTGCCACACGTGTTACATCGTGGGAATGATAGCATCCCAGAACAGCATTCCTCGGAGAGGAATGCGGGGTAGAACAACAGCCAGGTGGCCGCCGAGGCCGAGCGGCATAAACGCTCGACCGAGGACGGAGATACGCGGGTGGGCGGGCCCAGCCGCGGGGTTCTCAGTTCCAACCCCTGACCGAGCCCAAAGGTCAAAAAGGGGGACTCTCGTTGAGAGCCTCCTGAGAGCGAAAGCCTTAGCAGCTGTGTGTCGAAGAGTATACGGAAGTATAGCCGAAGCACCAGTTAGGCCGACGAACACCTGTTCTAAGGCTTCCTCTCGAACCCTTTTTAACATCCGAGTTCCTTTCTATTTTCGCTTGCCACTAACTCGTCTCAAGCCGAGTTACTGACTCATCTGGTAACAGACGACCGTGAACCGCTGGTTGGTATGTCCCCTCCTTCATGCCAAGAGGTTACTAACCAGGTGGCAGATCACACTGGTACCCTTCGTCAAGCCTCACTCACTTGACTTAGGCTTAACCCGTGTGAACCCTGCTACAATCTCCCGCGCTGCCGAGCCATGGGGGCGTGACCGCCGTTCGCAGGGCTTTTCCATCGGCCGGCCGAGAATGTTCCATACGGACAGCCCCCGCGACGCCCCCCCCCCCCCCCCTCGCGACCGCACTTGTAGGAGCAGGAGGGGGCACGAGGTACGGACAGAGCATCCGATGCCCGGGGGAGAAGCCCGTCGTGGAGAGGCCGGGCAGGGCGGCACAGCCCGGAGGAGGGAACGGAAGGGGCTCAAAGAAAAAAAAGGATACCACGCACAATGACAAAAAAGAGAGCGAGACAGCTAAACCGGGGGGGGG